CGTAAGGATAATTGAGGAGCTATTTCAAGGAAATAGCGGCTCCGGTCTAGGAAACCGAGACTAACGGCCGTGGGGATCCGTTGCGCTTACTACGTGACACTCTCTATCAGCAAAAGTTGGCACTAATTTCGCCGACAAGCGGCGGTCGCTCGGTCGGTATAGTTCGCTTGCGGACTAAAACCAAGGAGTTTAGTTTTTGTTGACTGAGATAGGTGTTATATAGAGTGAAATGGAAAGGACTTGGTAGGATGCTGTCGTGGCCTGAGATATTGTTCTAGCATCCGTGCAGAAATGCAGAGAAAATTCACGAAATACATTAAATCACGTGCAGCAAACCAGGTCGAGGAAAATTTCGTGAGGCGAGAGTATATCTGTATAAAAACTGAGATCCAGTACCTTTGGCAAGAAAGCCAGGAACGAACGATGTATTCATAGGGAGTAATACGCTGCTGGCCACGGTTCCAATTAATTCCTATCGTTCTTCTGCAGCTGCATTTTGACGTAACAAGACATAATCTGTTGAACCCAATGACTAGAGTTTAAAGAGCACGTAATTAAGAGGGAAGTGATGTACTGTTAAAGCAGTTCTCTATTGCATATCAACGTGACAGAACAATTGTTATCATGCCGGAAAGACAGCCGACCTCCTGACAGTGTAGCAGCACATCATGACCTTACCCCAACCTCCAGTCACTTTCACCACATAACGGAATTTCTATGTTTCTATGAGAAATGCACAACAATAGAGTTAGTGCTCTCTCATGCCAAACTACTAAAAAGGGAAAAAAATGACAACTAGGGCAGTTGTTTAGTCGTTAAAATAATAGCAGTAAATTACGTGACATAAAACATGAGAATTATATATGATATAGCGAGAGAAGTATAAATAAAACCCGTGATTCATAAAACTTTCGTAATAATTCAGTAATAAGAGTTATTTCTGTTTCTGAGATTTGAGGTTGTCACGGCGGTGACTGAACTTCAGTGTCTTCTGGTACGAAATGCCACATAATCTGATAGAAGTTAGCAACGTTTCGGAGGAACATGCTGCCTCCATCTTCAGAGTATCTTGAAATTCTCGCTTTTCCATTTATGAGAGTACATTTCGCTGGTTATTATTCTTGTTTAAAAATATTACCGTTTAATTTGTTGCGGGAGCAATTGATTCATGTGTGTTATGTAACAGCAGTCTTCCTAATGCAGAACCAGTTAAGATATATCGGGAAATATGTGGAAGAAGCTGTCCTGGCCTAATTTAAGGTACTATCCCAGCATGGGCTTTGAGCGACTGAGGTAATCGATGAAGAGCCTCGGGATATTCTGCCTCTGATTTGATATTCGAACCCGGGACCTCCGCATATGAAACAGGAATGGTGACCACACCATCATGACGTTCGGCAGATGTGGGAGTAACGCTACTACGAATATCTTGTTCGGGAGATAATTGTTTATAATCCCTACGGCGATACCAGCTATCGTATCTGAGTCTTCATGGTTCTTTGCGGTTTTCCAGATGGAGAGGAGGGCCTATACTCAGAGAGTTTACGACAGCATCCTTCGTAGATATTCATGATCATGTTTGCATCACGGACCGCCTCTGTGGTCTAATGGTCAGAGTTCCTGGTTACAGAACCAGAGGTTCAGGGTTTAATTCCCAACGCTACCAGATTCTCTGAGAAGTAGTGGGTCTGGAGCGGGGTCTACTCAGCCTCGTGGGGATAATTGAGGAAGTACTTGAATGGAAGAATAGCGGCTCCGGTCTAGAAAACCGAAATTAAGGGCCGTGGGGATTCGTTGCGCTGACCACCCAACACCCTCTATCCGCTAAAGTTGACACTAACTTCGCCGACAAGCGGCGGTCGCTCGGTCGGTATAGTTCGCTTGCGGGCTAAAGCCACGAAGTTTGATTTTTGTTTTCATCCCGATCGACACTGTGTAACTTCCGGAGTAGAAGCAATGCCGTTCAATTTCTGAGAGTCAATAATTTGAATAAAATGTAACAAATTATTTAAGGTGTTTTAAATATGTAGATGCACAGGAGAGGTTTAAAATACATTTGCAAGATAAAGGAAACCACGTTATAAGGAGAGCAGTTTTGCAGTTTTCTAATGAATTGACAGGACTGCAGGGAGTTGTGTTAAAAGCTTCCTGTTTCTTCCGATAGATACTCTTCTTACGAGAAAGCAGATGTCACAATTCAAGGAACGTTTTAAATTCATGCGTCGTAAGAAACTGAAAATATTCGTGATTGAAGTAAGAGAGAAGACAATAAGGGAATCCGTGTTGTTACTCAACTTGACAACTCTCCTTCATCGATTCATTTCTTAGCAAAAGATTATAATCCCTGAGATATCACATAATATTAGTCACTATTTCCTATGCTGTCAAGCGGTTGTCATTTCGCGTTGTACTTTTAACTTTGTGTGCAAATGCCTATCATAAAATCGGGCCTTACCCTAACATTCGATTTTATTGATTTTAGAACACATAAAGCAATAAAAGAATCAGAAATCGTACAATCCGACAGAATCGCTTGACAAAGTATGTAGGCCTGTTAGTGACATGGTTGACATAGCTCCAGTACAAACGCGTGACAGTTAAGTTTTTTATGTGAACCGAATATTGTTCGATGGCGTGTAAAACAGATACGTGAAGGTATATCGCGGCATAAACAATGAGCGTAAATACTTAACAAAAAGAAATGGGATGATTTTGATGTATTTTGTCCTTTCTGTTCTGGATAAGATCTAAAAGTTTGTGACGATGGATAATGTCCAAAAACATAATATTTATACTTTTTGTTCTGGGCTAAACAAAATAGCTTAGCTTATTAATAGAACATTATATCTTATTTTTTTATTATTATTAGAGGGGATGGGTTTCCCCATGCACTTAGACCAGTTATTGGTCCATTGTGCGTCCCCCTTTTATTTCTACTGTCGCCATACCCTACCGGTACTGGTGCGTGCTATCAGCCCCGTTCAGCCAACGAGGTCGGCCCTCGGTACCTGATATTTCCCCCATCTACCAGATGCATTGGAAACTACTTGGGCGGGAAATGTGTTGCCTAATTTTGCTCAGAGGTCTCTTAGAGACATGAGGATCTTTTACGTGCCGTAAATCTACGACACGGGACCCACGGCTTAAAGTTCCTCCCGGAGGACTTGTTCAGATTATATCTTAAGTTCTCGATAAGAAAAGTCAAAGTTAAGAAATCATTACGAAGGGCTTAAATAGACTAATAACCTGTGCACCAATGAAATGTAATTGTTTACTAAAGGATTAGATATCGTGTTTGTAAATTCCATTGTATACGTATACATATTTGCCGTATTTAAGTTTCAATATCGTTTCACAGAGGAAAGGGTGTATATATCGCTGTTATAAATCAAAATCGACAAAATTCTGGTACCAAGAATTGCAAATGTAATTTAATGACTTGCCAGTCACGGTAGCCGAGCGGTCTAAGGCATGTACTGTCTTCGCTCACTCGGAAACCGGGGTCGTGGATTCGAATCCCACACAATGCATGGATCTTTGGTGTGTGAATGCGTTTATTCTGTGTTTTGTCTTGTCCTGTGTCAAGGTAGAGGCCTTGAAACGAGTTGATCACCCGTTCAAGGGGTCCTACCGTCTGTAAAATAGTAATGAAACTTAAAAATGAGCCCTGTGCTCCAAAGTGGGAGCGAGAGGAGAGAGAGAAAAAAATGTAATCACTAAATACGAGTAGTTTCATAGCAATAGGGAAATTCTTGTTTGTTAGTTATTTAACAGCACTGTTACTGTTGACTTTATATAGCGGCGATAATAAGATGATTAATGAATGTGGAGCAACTGGTGGAAGGGGAAATGCCAGGGGAAATCGAAGTACTCGGAGGTGCCACTCTGACCACCAGAAATTCTACCTGACTTGGCATCGAACACGCACCTCTGCAGTAAAAAGCCGGAGATTAACTGTCTGAGATATTGCACGGTCGAATTTCTTGTTAAATGAGACTTCAGAGTAGCTGAGGGAAAGCCATAGAGTCTGATGTTCAGTCTGTCGGTCGGTCAGTCAGTCAGTCAGTCAGTCAGTCGTTATCCCGCCTATGAGACCGTCTATCAACGCGAATTTGGCAGTGCCTACAGGACTTCCATTTCTTACAGAGGTAATTTCTTTCAATCCCAATTATTTTTCCAAGCACTTTGTTTTAAAAGCTGAAACTGCATATATTGCTATTAGTGTACCAGAAATCCCAGCTGTAGCATACACTGTATGAAATCAATGATATAATAATTTTATGCAGTCTACCTGAGCTGGTGTGGTGCAGTCGGTATAGCGACTTCTTATTGGCTGGACGACCGAGGGTTCGGAGTTCCGAGTCCCGGTAGGGTTAGAATTTTCTATTCTCCATATCGCCCAGACCGGCTCTGGGACCCACTCACCTTCCTATCCAATGGGTATCGGGGGCTCTTTCCCCGGGTTTAAAGCGGCAGGAGCGTGAAGCTGACCACTCACCTCCAGCTAGTGCCGAGGCCAAGAAAATATGTATCTATACATCCACTTCCCCATATTCCTTCGTGGCGTAGTGCTTAATTAGTTAATCACAGGAACAACTTCACCTTGTTTACCTTGATATTCAGTGTAATTGGATTAAGAGAAGGAGCAATCAATTATGAAGTAGGCGTACATGGCAACAAATCAGGGAAGTTAATAATGGGCCGGACTGGTAGCTCAAACGTAAATATAAGAGAAACTTACTGGGGAAAACTGTTGGAAAGCTTCCATTTGGGAGACCAAAGAGGAAATAGGGGGATGACACGTAGGTGGGACTTCTAGGTGGCAGATTATAAGGGTGCTCACAATCGTGTACAGTGGAGGGTTTTGATACTAACAGTGATGAATCTTCGGGTCTTGGTACCAGTTGCTTAGTCCCAATAAAAATTACCGTTTTCCTGAATGTACCTTAATGCTTTTTCATCATGTTCATCACCGGCGTCTAACGTGCACGTTTCTGCAGGATGAGCTGTAACTGTCCGGTGACGCAGCCGGGGCCCACTCTGGCCAGCACTTGCGGGGGTTCAGCCTTCATGCTGTTCATGGGGCTACTCGAAGTTTTCATCCGGTCACAGTGCGATCTCGAGGACCCCTGCGGCCGCCCGGAGAGTCGATCCGTTCCGGATCCCATTTACGATTTCATCGTCGTGGGCGGAGGGTCCTCAGGTAAGAAAAAAAACTTGTCTTCCTCTTTCCTTCTGTGAATAAAATTAAGTCCGTAAAGTGCCCAATCAGAGGAAGAACCCCAGCTGAGGATCGAAGTGGTGAAGCGTGCTGGCTGGTCTAGCCTGTCGCACGCTTCAGTAGCTGTGGTACGTTGGAAATGAGAATGGATACCATAGCACTGAAAGAAAAACTTCCTCTACAGTTACTCTTTCTACCACAGTTTCCGCATACACTACACCGCCTCTGGGCTGAAACCTGTCCTTCGCTGTGAGAAACAGCTGCCTAACGGTCCAAGCTATGGATAGCTCCGATCGCTTTTTTATAACATGTAAATATTATTAAGTAAGAGGGATTCGAACTCGTAATCTTGTGGTGCTATCTCTGTAAAAAATATACTTTGTGTCTTATAGGAGCAGTTGTGGCAAGCCGACTGAGCGAGATTCCACACTGGAGGGTCTTGCTGATTGAGGCGGGCGTTGACGAACCGACGGGCACTCAGGTGCCATCCATGTTCCTCAACTTCGTGGGTAGCGACATCGACTGGAGCTACAGGACAGAACCAGAGGAACATGCCTGCCTCAACGAGGCTGGCCGCATGTGCTCCTGGCCTCGGGGCAAGGTACCGGTATTTTGTAAAGAACCGTTATTCATTAGGCACGTCTACTGATGAGCGAACTGCGTATGTAATTAGAAACTGTTACAGCGTTCGTCTCATTCATTTGTTCTTCCCTCCACATTTCTCACTTATTTCTTAACCCCTTTCTCTAGTCGTCCTTTCGTCTTCCTTCACTCTCTTTTCTTTCCTATTTGAGTTTTCTTCTCCCTTTTTTATTTTTCGCTTTCTCTTTTTCCTTTTACTCCATTATCTCTTTCATTTCCCTCCCGTCATTATCTTTATTTACATTCCTCCCTGTCGTTTTTACTTTTCCTTTCTTCTTTTACTATATTTCAGTCTCCTCTCGTCCCATTCCCTTCTTTCCTCATATGTTACTTTTACTTCCTTGCATTCAGTCTCTCCCACGTGCATCCGTTCACTCACACATCACATTACGACAACGTCACATAAGAGGTCTGCTTCTAGTGCCCCCTCGCCAATAAGACCATTAAGAATTTTCCCATGGCTCTTGCTGTAAGAATAGAATCCGCCCCGAGACCAGACTCAATTGTTGGGACCTGATTACGAGTCAGCATATGCATAGCGTGTCGGGGAATCTAAGGACCATCTACTGCGTAAGCCAACAACGTAATTTCAGAGATATTTGTGCCGCTTCTACAAGCAACTCACTGAGCAGGTTTTTATGCTCTGGAGGCAAGCGCCTAGAAACTAGGTCGGACTGTTTGGCTGTACTGAGAATTTTCGTATGTATAATTGTCTCTCCAGGGAAAAAATACTTTCAGTCAGAACGTGATATATTCCTCAACAATTCTTTCGTAATCATCCATTCCATTTTCTAACCTCCATTGACATTACAGAAGGTCTTCAGTTGAAAGGGCTTCGTTAAATAACATAAGACTCAATGTTCCATACCAGAAACGATGAAAACCACGAGTCACTGGTCTTGACACGGTAGCTACTGAATTGCAAAGAAAATGTAGCCCGTAAATAACTCTGACACTATCAATGAAAGTGAAGGATTCTCAAGTAAAAAATTAGGCTTTAGCTTTAACTTTCCTGTGATATACATTAACCCGTGATTTGTTTTCTGTTGTGACTTGTATTTAATGCATAATAACATAACTTCCCCTACATACCGCTCCACAAAATTTCTAAGTTAATTAACTAGTTAGCAGATACGAACACTGATATACGAAGAAATCGAAGGGACGGTTAATCTATGTTGTAGGATCTAAGCACAAAATCTGGTTCAAGGGAATAGTGACAAATGGTATTTCATTTCTTTCTCAACACCCTCGTCCCTGTCTGCACATACGCTTAGACCCAGAGCACACCGACGGTGCACTATTTCCATACAAAACAAATTATGCATTGTCATTAAAGACAATATCAGGGCACAGCCTTCAAAGTATCTCTTATAGCATGAACTCACTGCGATTAATTTCAGTTTCTCCTAGTCACTCTTACTTCTTCCTGAATCAGCGATACAAATTGGATATAAATTAATGGGATCTTCTGTACAGTGAGTACAAAGGAAAGCGTTCCCTTTGAAATTCTTGTTTACAGAACCTTCATCATAGCTCGCAAACTTTCTACCACGTGACCGACTACAAAAAGGGTTCAATATGTTGAGTCAATATTCCTTTCTTAGCAAATTTTAATAATCTGCCTAATGTTGTGGAAAAGAAAACTAATTTTCTTTTTATGCAATGTCCTAAATTGCTCACATCCTTTCATTTCCTGAGCCCTTTGTAAGGAATCGCGTTTCACATCCATACAAGAACTGTCAAAATTTTTATTCTGTATAACCTGATTTTAAAAGTTTTGGAACGTAAACTCGACTATAACATTTTTGAACTGGATACTACCAAACACTGGGGGCACGCGTTAGCGTAGTTGGTTGAGGCACAATGCTACAAGCTGGTAGCTAGGGGGATCGAATCCCGTTGAGGTGGACCTTTTCAATTGATCTAATCCTTTCAGCAGCACTATTGCCCTGGGGTCGACGCAGCCTTTAACAGAAATGAGTACCATGAATATTCTTGGGGGTAAGGGGCGACCGGCGTGTAGGGCTAACAACCTTACCGCCATCTATGAGCCGATTTTCTAGAGAAAATGTGGGAACCTCAACATCTCACAACCCTACGGGCCTCCACGGCCTGTTACAGGGATACCTTTACTTTATTTTTACTTACTACCAAATATTTCAAAATTTATTCGTCTCTCCTATTCATAAAAATCGGATTTATATTTCTTATTGCTTCCTGATATTTACAATTTAAACTTTTTCAAACTGACTTCTTACATATACCAGTTATATTATGATTTCATTACAAAATTTATTTAGTGACAGGTAGAAACCTACAGCAGTCATTCTGCTGGCTTCCAGTTAAACTGAAGTGGGCTGAAGCCCTGTGTGTGTGTGTCTGTTGCAGGTTATCGGTGGAACAAGCGTCATGAACGGGATGATGTACATCCGTGGCAGCAGACGAGATTACGACGACTGGGCTGCACTTGGGAACACAGGCTGGTCCTATCAAGACGTCCTGCCCTACTTCTTGAAGTCCGAAGACAACCAACAACCGCACCTTATGGATCACGGCTATCACGGTGTGGGGGGCTACCTCACAGTAAACCAATTCCCTTATCACCCACCTCTGTCTCACGCCATTCTACAGGCAGGCCGGGAGATGGGTTACGAGGTCCGAGACCTGAATGGAGTGTCGCGTACAGGATTTGCCATAGCCCAGACCACTAGCAGGAACGGCTCCCGTCTGAGCACCGCCAAGGCTTTCCTCAGACCAGTCAAACATCGCCACAACCTTCACATCATGCTCAACACGACTGTGGCCAAGGTTCTCGTCAACGAGACCACGAAAGAGGCCTACGGAGTGGTCGTTATCAGAGGTGGACACTCAGGAATGAACGAGGTTATCCTTGCTAGAAATGAGATAATAATTTCAGGAGGTGCAGTTAACTCTCCTCAGATTCTTATGCTGTCGGGTATAGGTCCTAAGGAAGATCTGAAATCCGTTGGTATCCCTGTTATAGTAGATCTTCCAGGCGTCGGGCGGAATCTGCATAACCACGTTGCATATTTTGTGAATTTCCTCATTAATGACACGGATACACAAGCACTGAACTGGGCAACAGCTATGGAATACCTTCTGTTCAGAGACGGTCTGATGTCAGGAACAGGTATATCAGAAGTCACTGCTCTCCTCAACTCTAAGTATAACAATCCTGATGATGATAATCCCGATCTCCAGTTCTTCTTTGGTGGTTTCCTTGCCAACTGTGCCAGAACAGGTCAAGTTGGTGAGAGAGTTAATTCCAATAATACCAATGCCCAGAGACCTGTAAATATAATCCCTGCTGTGCTTCATCCGATGAGTCGAGGATACCTCACGCTAAGGAATGCGGATCCTCTGGCCCACCCAAAGATTGTTGCTAACTACCTCTCTCAACCTGCCGACATCGCTACGTTGGTGGATGGTATCAAGATTGCCATAGCCATGTCCCAGACGCCGAGCTTGCAACGCTACGGTTTTCGGCTTGACGAAACGCCAGTTCCTGGCTGTGAGAACATCACATTTGGCTGTGACGCGTACTGGGATTGTGCGGTTCGCAGACAAACAGGCCCGGAGAACCATCAAGCAGGCACCTGTCGTATGGGACCTGCTGGGGACCACGGGGCAGTTGTTGACCCCGAACTTCGAGTTTACGGTGTCGATAGACTTAGAGTTATTGATGCATCGGTAATGCCTAAAGTCACATCTGGCAATACAAATGCTCCAGCAATTATGATTGCAGAAAAAGGAGTAGATATGATCAAGAGTACATGGTTTGGAAGAAGAACCTGGGATATCTGGTATAAAAAGTAATGTGCGATGCTTTCTTTAACGTCATTATAATTTTCGCATGACGCGATGTTTGTGTGGAAACAAATCTTGTTGTCGTCCGTTTCCTCCGTATCGGACGGGAAGAAAACACCAAGATTTCTGTAAGTTGCAGTGAATGATAACTTTCACGAGCATATAAACTGTACACTGGCCTCATCCGATTTACTTGAAATTGGGGCTGTTTTGCGGGATACAAACAATTCTTATCGAAGAAGCAGAGGGCTGTCTTTTCAGGGTCGTTGCTCTGTGACTTGCTCTGGTGTTTGTGTTCTGTGCACCAAGTGGTTCCGGTGGTTTACGCAGAAAGCTGCTACCATGTCGTTCAAGTTGAAACCCGAGAACTGTGACTCTTGCTGTATGAAGTGCCGAGAAGCTTAATAACAGTTTCAAACCTCGTCCATATCCTTCATAATTACATCCCTCACAAAAATTGTTAAGATCTTATTAAGCGAGTTACTGGTGAGGAGACAAGAAAGCTCAGCCAAGCAAAGGTGCGCAACTCCATGGGTGCTTTTCAATGCTAAGGCAACTTAATTGGTACACTCTTTAACATAATGGAGAAGACTACCTCAAGACACTCTGCTGAATGCTTTAACATGCTCAAAGAGAATGTATGAACAAATTTTCTCTGTAAGCAACTTTCTCTAATAGAGGAAGTTACAATATAATGACTGCTAATTTTATTATCTTACACGTAAAAGTTGTAATTTACATTTATAAAAATTAAAGTGTTCCAAAGCTTACAATATTATGTAAAAGGTAAAAGGTAAAGCTATCCTTGTAACAGGCCGTGAAGGCCCGTTGGGTTGTGAGACGTCGAGTGTGCCACATTTTCTCTAGAAAATCGGCTCACAGATTGCGGTAAGGTTGTCAGCCTTAACCGCCGGCCACCCTTTACGCACTAGAAAGACTCCTAGTGCTTATTTCTGTTAGAGGCTGAGTCGAAACCAGGGTCACAGTGCAACGGAAGGATTAGGTAAATTGAAAAGAATCCACCTCATCGGGATTCGAACCCGCGACCTTCAGGTTTGTAGCACAGTGCCCCAACCAAATACGCTGTTGCGTATATGTAACAGCGTGAAGGCACAGTGCAAAGTGACCGGTTCATAAACGCTAAAAGAATTCTTCGTAATTCATTATATAACTCACTAAGTACCAGTACTTGGAGAAGCTTAATGCTGTTGAAACTGAACTTTTAAATAATTCATTTCCTCCGTAACTTTTGCCTTTTCTTTTCTTCGTGTTTTCAGTTTACTGCGCTGCAATATGTTCCGGCTTGGTTACGTGTAACGGTTTGCCCGCGGCTGAGCAGCCTTCACGTGTAACAACGTAACAGTGCAACATTAAAGCACACCCACCAAGTTCTTATACAAGCGAGTCGAGTCAACCGGTTTATACAGACTTGCATAAGAGTGGTATAACGTAAAAGTAAATTCGACCTTTACCTTGAAACTAAGTGGCCTTAGAACAGTACGCTTGCAATTTGTGGGTTAAAGAACGGTTATAAGGGATATTCCACTTTAAGACTGGTTATGTCAACATATCAGAAATGGCCCTTGATTCATAGACGATAAATCTGAGAAACCTGAATAAGGGAAACCTCTCAGATGATCAAGGCATGGGTGAGAGAGTAATTTTAAAATGTATCTTAAATAAATAGGTAGGATAAAATTGTCCCCAGCCGGTCACGGTAACCGAGCGGTCTAAGGCATGTACTGTCTTCGCTTTCTCGGAAGTCGGGATCGTGGGTTCGAATCCCACTCAGGTCATGGATGTTTGGTGTGTGTGCATTTTTCTGTGTTTGTATACAGGTAGAGACCTTGCGACGAGCTGATCATCCGCCCAAGGAGTCCTACCGAATGTATAAGATGTAGAAAAATTGAACTGAACGGAGAAGTTCATGGAGGTAGGCGTAGGCCCACTGGGGCTGTAGTGCCAAGGGGGAAAAAGAAAAGTTGTCCCTGTGCTTAACTAATTAACCACTACGTCATTAAGGCGTATGGGAGAGTGGATGTATAGATCCACATTCTCTGGGCACTAATTGGAGGCGAGTGGTCAGCTTCACACCCCGGCAGCTTTACACCCGGGAAAGAGCCCCCGGTACCCATTGTATAGGAGGTTTGGTGAACCCCAGAGACGGTCTGGACGATGTGGAGGAGAGAAAATTCTTGACCCTGCGGGACTCGAACTCTGAACCTTCAGTAGTCCAGCCTTTAGCCAGTCGCTATACGGACTGAGCTATCTCGGGTCGGTATCTTAAATAAATATGATATTAAAGTGTAAACTGGGCCCATCTGGCTCAGAGCAGGGACCGAGGCCGCTCTCTTATGAACAAGGTAATTGGACGTTCGGGGTTCGATGAAAGTTGCGGGATTTCTTGAGCAGCTGAGTGACTTTTAGTTTTCGAAAAAGACTCTTCTCCAATGAGTTAAATTGCACTAGCATTTCGTAACCTTAAAATTGCTGCGTCTGTTGCATTTTGAGAAAGGAATATGCCTGTTGCATGCCGCTAAGCACTAACCAGATATAGAGAGCGATCAGCAGAATATTTTGATTTAAAATAAATTTACTTAGAAGAAACCATTTTAATGTTCGCATTTCTTTCGGAATTCAAATTTATTTGACTACTTTGCGTGACCTACTTTGGGCTAAGCTGATGTAATAATGACTACAATCGAGTTGAGCTTAATGTTTTAGTTCTCTAACACATCCCGGCTTCAGAAATACAAGACGGACGATATTTATCTTATTAATCTCATACAGAGCAGAATTTTAATATAAGTGACTATGTTCTCTAAAATTATATCACACTTCGACAGCTTACCACATAAATATTTGAATACAGATTATCGAACATTATTTCTAATAACCTCAGTAGCTTCACATGCTTTGTAGGGTTGCGCTTGTTTCGTAACCCAGTAACCTGCGAAGTAAGAGCCATAGCTCGCTGGCTTCCCACCGCGGCGGCCTGGGTTCAATCCCTGGTCTGGTGAAGTGGGATCTGTGGTAGACAAAGTGGCGCTGGAGCAGTTTTTTTCCGAGTACTTCGGTTTCCCCTGCCAATGTTCATTCTACCAACTGCTCCACAATCACCCTCACCTATTATCTGAGGCTGGTACAGTAGGCCAGAAGTGGCAGCAGTACAAGGGGCTTAGTCCCACCCCACTAGCAATAAAAAAGAGAACAATATTAAAGCGTGGAGAGGGCAGATATTTGAGGTGTTCGTGGCAGTGAAGTTCATATCGTAGTCTTTTGGATTATGTCGCTGTGGATGCTTCCCAACATTTCGAGGAACACAGTGCCTCTATCATAACGGCGCCTTGCCCTCTGTGCTGCACCTGAAGGCAGTGTTTGCACGCATCTACCAAACTACACCGTATATTAACCCGGAAGAGTGTAGCATGAAACGTCGTTAGAGTCGCTTTACTATTCATCGCCCCCCCCCAGAATTATCATCATGTATGCGTCTTTTTATTGCCAAGTATAACGTTCCAATCAAGACATTGCAGTGCAACTCACATTGCAGTATAACTGAACTACTTACACAACTGCAAAGGTATTTATTATACCATTAAATAAGTGTAATTACACAGCAGAAATATGGCTGTACGGTGATACATTGGGGGAGGGGGGCAAGGTGAACGGTAAAGCAACTCTAAAGACGTTTCAAGCTGTGATATTCTGGGTCATGACACCGTTAATTCTGGTAGGCGGGTACGAATTTATAGAAAAGACCAATCCAATAACTTAGAACGCTTAGCATTTCATATTATTTTCTTGAATTCTTACAAGAATAAATATTTATTCTATCTGATAAGTTTTTATTAAAGATAAATGAAAAAGTGTATGCCTTCACAGGAAACAAATGCCTATGACTAACATGAAAATACAACTACATATTATCATTTATAACAGGTCCGGCCACTGAGGTGTTGGGTGTAACCTCAGCAATTCACTGCGATTTCAAAATTGTAGAACCAAAATAACACAGGTCTCGAAGTTATATCGCCGAATTTGGCAAACAGCCTGCGTTAAGCTTGGTTATCATATAAAGATTTCCCCGACAAGTTCAATATTTTATTAAGGCGAAGCTAGGGTCAAATCTGGCTCCTCAGTGTGGCTACGTGGATACTTGTAAAATATTTTACTGGACCATTTGGATAACCGAACATGCTGACATATCTAGACCAGGCATGCCCAACTTCAAACAGATTGTGATCGACTTTTTAGCGTCAAAATTTCCAGTGATCTACCACCCCCTCCTATTGTCGTACCTCGCTTTGAGCAAAACTATTGGTAAAAGTAACACGACACATGATGTTTATTGTAAAAGCAACATACATTGAAAGTACAGACTACTTTAACACGTATTTTCCCTTCAAAATCTGAATATAATCATATTATATTACAAGTGAATTTACATGCTTTTCACGTATAATTTCCTTATGGGCCTATGAGATCGACCAAAAATCGTCCCGCGATCGACGCTTTGGACATGCCTGATCTAGACAAAAGCCGTGAAAAATAATTATTAGCCTATTTTTCAGTTTGTGAAGAAAGATAGTCGTATGGTGTCACCGTGTTTTTTTCACCACTGACCACTTTTGAATGAAATGAATCATTTTTAGAAATTAGTAGATAAATATATTCCTCCAGAGGCTACCCACCTTTGTATCTCTTAATTTTTTTAATATTAAAATACCAACAAAGCAGAAGTGTAAAATTGTGATAGTGTCAATATCCCTACCTTCTGTAAGGTCCAGGTATTTCGTTTGGAAACAGATATTCGTAAAATATGCAAGTCATTTTAAGGTACTATATCTCAAATATAAGACAGGAACAACATGGACGAAAGAAATCTGTAATTCATCTTTCCGTTTGGTGGCTACAAGTAATTACATCTGAGCTAGGCATGTGAATATTTTGCAGAATCGCCTTCCGTTTGAGTTCGTCATTCACGGGCGAATGGGAGCGCAGTAACGATATAGAGACTCTGCGCTTGTCTACATACTTACAGACTTTGAATGAAATATGTACTGTATTTTAAATTTTCCAAGTCTCAGATATGGCGAATGTGCGAAACTTAACGTAGCCGGAATATCTGCAAATGGAAATCATCCACAGAAATGGATCAATAAATGTCATGAATAGTAATTTACAATAGGCTTGTTATAGTCGACACACGTCATTAATTCTTCCCACAACGTTCTGCCTTCTGTAAAGTAAATAACCAGCGTTTCTTCTCATTTGGTGACAATCCTTCTCTTGAATACAGCCGGGATAGCGACAGTCTACGGGACGCAATTCGAGTCACGTTGGGATCAGGAATTTTCACTTCTCTATGTCGTTCAGACCGGTAATGGGATTCACCCAGTCTCTTATCCAATGGGTACCGGGGGTTCTTTCCCCGGGGGTAAAGCTGACCACTCAGCTCCAACTAGTGCCAAGGTCAAGGAAATGTGGATCTGTACATCCACTCCTCATACCCATGCATGGCGTAGTACTTAATTAGTTAAGCACAGGGACAACTTAACCTTGCTGAAAACGGCATGAGTCGTTATATGCCTATGAGGGCTCTACTCTACTTGTACACGTCATCATTCGTAAGGAACGCGTGAGTGTAGTGTATATGTCTTACTGAAGTGGAACAAGGAAACGACACGGTAAGGAGGTGACGGATGAATGCCTATCTCCTTGACAGGGTTCGATCCCCGCCTCCATTAACATGACGGGATGAATATTT